TAATATTCCTTATGATGGTTGTTTTAATTGCATAGAGTGAAAAAGAATGCTAAACTTGTATTTAAGGAATTTGTGTAGAATGTGTTTAAGGATATATAATTCTCAAAGATCATTGCGAAGTTAATAATTAAACTTAAATTATTGTTGATGAAGATGATAAAAAGTCCAAAATATATATGAAGATGCTATTTATTCTAAAGATGAAAATGTGACGATATTTAATTATCATTTACTAATAAAGTTCAATTAAATGAAACAAGCAATTTTACCAATTCAACTAAATCTTCCATCCTTTCTATTTAAGAAGAGATATATATAACCCACTATATTTCCTGTAGTTAAGATTGATCAAACTAACTTATTTGATATTATCTATGTTTTTTTAAATTTAAATATTGGAATCGATTACAACATAAATTTATTTAGCAATAGAAATTAATGCTAATTTAGTAGATCAATATGGATAGTAGGTTAATAAGACTTTTTAAACTATTTATTTATAAATATCCAAAGTTTTGAACAAAAATTAATTGCAAACTGCTAATAACTTTTAATATCTGGGTAATTGGATGATGATAGGATGAGCTAGCAGCAGTTTATTTCTGTTTTTATTTGGTAATCCTAGTTAATGTCTGGAAATTTTAGATACTTTATAATTTTAATCATATCTAAATTCATAAATGTTGAATTTCCATTGAATATATAAATATATTTTGAAACTTCAGAATTTGTAAGTATTAATCCAGTGTTAGTTAAATTAGAAGTAAATCATTTTTTTTCAGAACTAATTGGATATTAATGTTTGCATAGTGTAGGATAGCTATTTGAATATAAATTAAATGCAGATTTGTTAGTTAATATTTATGGTTAATTTACTTAAATAGTTGTGCTGATTGGATTGTCTATATAGTTCTAAAATACTTTAAAAGATTTATTTACACGAATTATTTTGGCAACCAATATATCTACTATGTTAAATTAGTAAATCTTAAATTTATTGAAACTCTTGGAATTAAATTTTATTATTTCAATCGGTGGATTTGTAAAATAAATGATTAATATAATGTGTAAGGCTTGATTCAATTGTTCCATGTTAATAGCTGGGATATAATATTTAAAAATTTTGATATATTTGGTTTCGATTACCTAGCTTAGATTACGAGAAATAGTTTCTAATATTATTTCAATATAATTATTAAATATAAATATTTAATAATTGAATTTCTATGATTATGTATATAATTATTAAATTCTCAACTTAAATTCTAAAATTTATGTTTAAGATAATTTTACTTTATTATTTATTTAGAAAGTAAATATTATGATAAAATCATATAGGATTTACATAATAAATTATTTAATTAACTTGTTCATTTGAGATTACAGGAATATTAAGTATAAAAAAGAACAATTCTAATTAGTTTTGATGTTTTATTATAGAATGAGATATTTAATCCGAATTTAGCAATAATTCTGAGAATTGAAGTTGTTTTCTTCTAATGAGATAGATAAAAAAATTGCTTTTTTTATTTTAGAAAATCTAATTCATAAATAGGAGTGAGTCTTGGAATAATCATAATTGATTTTAATCTTAAAATGATACCATGTGGCATATTTTACATGTGGCATATTTTATGTTAATTACTCAATTTAATAAATCAACATAATCAATTTGAAATTGATATTATCGTATAAATGTAATAATGTATTTATTTAAATAAATTAGAAGTTGATAAATAAGCAATTATTAAAAATGAAAATTAGATATTTTATCAATATAAATAAGTAGAAAATGTAATCATAATAGTTCTTCAAGATTATTAAAGATTTAAACTGGTAGATAACCTAAAAATATCTTCAACCACAAGGATAGAACTCTAGAGTATTAATATTTTATAATATGACCACGATATTTTGTAAGAAGTAGAAAAAGAATTTGGCATTTCAATCTATTAACTAAGTACTTTCTGTTTCAAATATTCATTATATTTGACCTGTGTTTATATTTATATTCAGAATACTTATTCATTACTTTATAATCAATATATCACTTCAAAAATATATGTTTTTTCATTAATCCAAATAACTTTTTCAGCATATAATTTAATTGCAAATGAAATGAAATAAAATATTTTTTTAATTTTAATTATTTTTTTTATATAGAATTTTTGGAGAATTTTGAAATAAAATGGGGAATAGTGAAACAAAACAAAAAAACACTGGAATATCAGCATCATAATATGGAGATATATTGATAAAAACAGATAAATCATATTATTTTTCTGGTGAAATTGTATAAGGTATAAGATAGATAAAATTATGTAGGAAATATCTATTTAAATGTAATTAAGGAAGGATTCCCAGGATGTGTTATTTATTTGTGTGTCTTAGGAAAAGAGAAATGCTAATGGACAGAAACATCAACCAGTACATCAACTGACTCTGAAGGTAATACATCTGAAAGTACAACTACTTACACATATAAGGGAAAGTCATATATTTATAGTCATAAATTGGAATTACATAATTTTTAAAGTCCATTCCTCCCATTAGGGTAATTTGTTTTTCCTTTTTAATTTTAACTATTTTCACATCTTCCTGGTTCATTTTATGAAAAGGATTTAGCAAAGATATGCTATAAGGTGAAAGCTTCTGTTAATTCTAAGAAACCTTCTTACAATTCTATTATTAGCATTCAAAGATTAATCATAAGAGAACCAATAAGATAAATAACAAATAATTTGACTGGTGCTATGTTGGTTCATTCTGAAGATTGTTGTTGTCAAAGTGATGAAGTATCAAATGTATCTTATATATAGGCTTGTCGTATAAAGTGTAAAATTGATAAAAATAATTATCTACCTGGAGATGTAGTATATTTAGAAATTAATATTGATAATTTACACTTAGATGTACAACTATATTCTATTTCTATACATTTAATAAATATTTTGACTTTAACTGATGATTCAGGCCGTTAAAATAGATAAAGCAGCATTGTTGCAAAGAAAGAAATTTAAGGAGTACCACCAAGGAGCAATGAAATTAAAAATGTGCAGTTTATTTTGAGAAATAATAATTCACCTTTAGAAATATAACCATCAGCAAATGGTCATTTGGTAAATTCAGCTTATTCGTTATTGATTAAGGCTAATATAGAGAGTAATATGATTTATTATTTTAGCCGATTCTTGCTGCTGCAAAGAGGATCCATCAATTTAAATTCCAATTTAGATTGTAGCTATCTAACCTCAGAATAATGATCCATTTTTAGATTAACCTCCTGATTGGAATCCCTAAATATTTTAGATATAAAAGTTTTATCTTACTGATAGTAATAAGTAAAAGAAAAATATTGTACATTCAGACCAATACAATGCACAATATAAAAACAATTCAATATAGCATATGTAATAACAAATGTAAGATTGACAATTAAAAAAATAATAATTTAAATGAATATGAAATTTATTTATTTAATTTTAAATATCTGATTCTGTCCAAATTATAAAATAGATGTCAAATTCTAACCTAACTCAATGAATTGCAGTTGAATAAATGAAAATTAAGTAAGAAATAATTTTATATTTTACATTTTTACTTGATATAAGTATGATGCAATTTAATATTAAAAAATATTCATATACACCTGATATTTATTAAAATTCTTTTCTAAATAATGAAACAATAATTATTTTAAATGATTTTTTTTCATTAATAATATT